AATAAGTATAAATTGTTATGTAATAAATTTCTCATAAATTTTAATATTATTTAACAGTTAAACAATTATAATTAACAACACTCAGTAGTATTGTGTTGTGAGCTACTTATATCTACATAAGTAGTATATATCTTGAGTCAGGATTAGAATATCTGGCATTAAAAGAACGAAATGATCAAGAAGGGAAAAACAGAAACAGTAGGCAATTGGTGTGGAAATGCAGTAAGAATGAAACCTGGGACAATTAATAAGCATTTTGCAAATGAAATATCAGAGTATGGTTTTTCTACTTTACTAAGCAACGTTGGATAATTTATACTTAAAATGTTATTATAAGCAAAGATGGATAGTGGCTAGTACTGGAATCCAGGAAGAGCGTTTTTTTTTATTTGGAAATCGTCAGCTAGATGTAACTGCATCTCAGAGTTGATGTTCACTCTGAGACTCGAACCCCGAACTGTTCGCTTCAAACCTCATCACGTTATCCACTCAGCTACTGAGTCCTGAGTGAATTAAGACAAAATTCAATTAGTATTGTTTGTTTTTCATTGTTCTTCTTTCTATTGAATTTAAAAATGAAGAAATCCTATTATTTTATTGATTATTTTGAATCTATTAATTATATCTATTTTATGTTCATTATAATGATATGTCGTTTTGTTCCCACCGTATCCATGTGAACTTAGAAGGCCTCTTCAAATTTCTAAGCCGTTTCTTTTTCTCCCACATACATCTATTTATTTCAAGAATTTTCTTCTTTTTTAATTTATTTTATTATACCAATTACATATATGACCATATGTACATGGATGATGTTGTAATGGCCCTGTATCTGAACTCTAGGTCGATCGTACTAATGATGGTTATTGTAATGTATACATAACGACAATCCTCGTGGCTCGGTGATCTGACTCTATTTGGATCGTATGATGATTGTTATTATTATTAGCTTTATTCAATATTATATTTTTGGTACAATATAGAATTCTCAGCACAAAGTACTTCAACAAGTTTATGTTTCTTACTTCTTCGTCCTTCCTGACGATAAATATTGAGTGATCGCCAGTTAGAACTTAGCAGCCCAGTCAATCGACATCTGGATAGTGTACATTCTTCTCGCTGCATATTGCCAGCAACCACGATATCTCTGATTAAGCCTTCTGAAACCTTTACAGCGAAAGATCTTACACTTTTCAGAAACGCACTTGAATAGGTTGTGCGATTAATAGGCATAATGATGTATTAAAACAAACGAAATCAGATAACTTGTTGAAATATCTAGATGACAGGAACAGGTAGCCCAGATGTTTAAACAGGCCGCCAATGGTTCAGTGTAATTCAATGAAATATACATATTGTCAGTTCTCCTATATAATTATCGACTTAACTTGCGTTATTAAATAACGGAATTCAATAAATTCAATACAAGAATGGACTTTGAATACGCATATTTTGTACAATCGTTAGTCGGAAAGAGAAGCAAAACAAAATGATGCTAAATGAATAAGGCAAGTGAATCATGCCCATTTTAACAAAAAGTTAAGAAGTGCACACTTATATAAAAACAGTCAAGGTTGATAAGTGAATAATTGACAAGGTCGAAATGTGACTCAAGAAGAATAAATAAACTGGTCTGTTTAGAATAAACTATGTGGGCTTGACATAGGACCAGCCACTTCACTATCATAAAATGTTTATAATCTATTAAGAATTTAAGTACGGAAAAACTCAAGAAGTATCACTATTATGGTTCGCTTATTTTTGAGATAATCTATAGTTGAAAGAAACTGAAAACAAATATTATAAAACTATTATGCAATGAAAAGAGATGTCATAAAGGAAAACAATCATTAGTAGATGAATATGACTGACAGTTAACCATTATTTAAAAAATTTTAATATCGACATTTTGAGTGAACATCAACTCTGAGATGCAGGTACATCCAGCTGACAAGTCCTAAATAGGACGAAACACGCGTCAGGCTGGATTCCATTGCTAGCCACTGTTCATCTTTGCTTATAAAAGTTAATTATTTATGAAACAGAAATTTTACTAGTATACTGATTATTTTGTTCTAAACATTCTTTGTCCTAACCAAATATATGGTACTAAATGAAGTAAATATGAATATATGTAAATTATTTGGTCAAATGTCCAATAAAAGCCATAGAAACCAGTCTTTCGAACATTCAAATCAACCTAATCAAGTACGTACATTTGAAACTACTATTTAACTAGTTTTTCTAAATAATATAAGATGAATATTTAACTGCATTTGAAGTTATTTAGTTATTAAATAGGAGAAATTGTTATGGGGACAAGAATGGAAGCCAATTAATTATTTTATGTTAAGTTGCGATGACCAACAACAGTATCCATCATGTATAACTTCAATGACAATAGTAAAATGTTCTCCTAGGAAAAAATGAGTATGATATAATATATGCAATGAAGTAATTTCTGTTGATGAATTGGTTTGTGAATAAACAATAATCATAGTTTGTAAAAATGAGAAGTGATGAAGGAATGCTGTCAAGAAGATATTCATATATAACATAGCTTTTCTAGTCCAACCTTAAGTTACAATGCATTGACACCATTTAGTAGAACTTTAAAAATCGAAAAAAAAAAATACAATGTTGTAGATGTTTATTCGAGATTTCTTTTTGAGAATTTTTATACGGGGCTGGTCTGTCCAGTATGATGACTTGAAAAAATATGAAATGTACTGTATTTCGAAAATATTTTATCCTAATGTCATATACTACTTGTAAACAGCTTAACTAGATTGTCAAAAATATTTCGGTTGTACATTGAGAAGACCTAGTTAACAGTTTACTTGAACATTCATTTATTTGACATTTATAAATTTTCATACGAAATGGCTTGACAAATATATGATTGCTTGAATTGTATCCTATTTATACATCACATTTTTCAGATCAACTTTGTCTTCTCATTGTCCTATCAAAATTGTAGAAAATATCTCCTGTGCATAAGTGTACACATGTATGACCACATTTAAAAATAATCAAAAGATTATTCAAAATGATATCACAGAGCAGATGTTCATTGATAAATGTAAAATCAAATGATGTCATATTCTATGAAATACTTCGGTGTTATCCGTAGAAATAACCTTAAAGTGAATATTTTTCCTTAGTTTGTGTCATAATATTTTGGTTATATTTTTTACTACTGATTATTTTGTAAGTACAATAAAAAGTTCTGAAGAAATATATTTATTGTAGTAATTCTACTGGTGTAAATGATTATCCATTAAGATATGATCAGATCGAATTTAAAGATTTAGCATTTAAGTATAAAGTTATTCCCTGGTTTCAGTTTAGGTAAAAGATATTTTGGTATTTAAACAATTTGTTAAGATGTATTTCTTTGAAATTTTATATTCATATTATGACTTATATTACTGACAATAATAAATGATGATACATATATGTAAGGAGTATTAGTTTGAAGTTGATAATACCTCACAGCTCACAGCTCACATACAAGTGAGTTTGTTCATATCTACATGTACATACTAGTCGTTTTCACTGTAATCGCTTACTTGTTGACTTGTTGACTCGCTCACTCGTTTGCTTTACGGCACTATTCTTTTATGCTTGCTTAACGTTCCTGTAATTTAAGATATCTGTGTGTGGTTCATTAATAAGCGCAATCAACACTTCATATTCACCTTCTGATTTACAAACCGTTGAAGCATTATCGAGTAGCGGTTATCAGGACGAACAACATACAAAGCTTAAGGATAATATGGTATCTCAACCATCACAACCTTCTCTGAACGACTTAATAAGAGAATGTTAATCATGTAGTTTTTGTGAATTAAGGAGAACTTTGTCATTTTAACAATCATAATTGGTCATAATCACTAATGGATACCTGAAATAGTTAAGAAAGAAAGTATTCTCAAAGTTAATTAGAATAAGTGATTTAAAAATCTACATATGCTTTAAACAGATACTCATAAAACAGACAAATCGATTGATGGAATACAGTTAAAAGTAAAAGATTCGAAATAAACACTTTCGATCATTGCTAATTGACTGATCGGAACTCAAAACAACTGTAAACCAATACTAAAGTGAGAATCTTCAATACAAACGTTAAGACAGTCTTACTGTATGGAGCTGACACGTGGAGAACTACTGTGACCACCGTCAAAAAGGTACAAGTATTTATAAACAGTTGTTTACGCAAAATACTCAACATTCACTGATTGGACACCATCAGGAACAGCCTTCTGTGGGAGAGAATAAACCAGCTTCCAGCTGAAGAAGAAAGTAGGAAAGCACGTTGGAAGTGGATAGGACATATGTTGAGGAAATCATCAAACTGAGTCACAATGCAAGGCCAACTTGAACTCTTGAAAAGAAGCGGAAAAGAGGAAGGCCAAAGAACACACTACGCCGGGAAATAGAAGCAGATATGAATTACAATTTTAAAGAACTGTAAAAGATTGTTCAGGACAGGGTTGGATGGAGAATGTTGTTGGGTGGCCTATGTTCCTTCATGAGGGGTAACAGGCGTAAGTAAGTAAGTAAGTAAGTAAGTGACTGATCATATATAAATATCATGATTCTCTTGACTAGTAAAGCTGTTTTATTACTGAAGAATTTCTACATCGACTTGTTAGAAATCGATTCAATGTGTTTATTTTTCTTTTTATCATTCTAAATCAAATAGATACTTAGATAAATATCTAGAAAGAATCGTCTGTTAAATGAATCTACAAAAGTAAATTCGATATTTACATTCATCAATAAAAATACAAATGCCTACACAAATATGATTATTTATTCAAGGATTCAATGACAAAAAGTACAATACACAATCAATATGCACATATAGATATATGTATATATATAATGAAGTTGATTTGCATTATATAATGTTCACTCTGTCATTAGTTTTAGTTTGAAAGTGTTCACTTTTATTGTGATTGTTCAGTTCAGCATTATATATTATCGAACTAATGAAATTACCACGATCTGGATCATTAATTACAATAACTTCAAATAAGTCAGGTTTTGTAAAAATATAAAATTATATATATTTTAATATAATTACATTTGATAATTAATTAATTATCAGAAGAGAGTTTGTGGAGATTTAAGTAATTTTACTAGTTGAAATTATGAATCAATTGAAGTTAGACCAGCATAGAAAACCAAGAAACATTAGATGGCTGTTTCGTCCCATTGTGGAGTTCTCAGTAGTGGGCTACCACGATTCCGCCTTGCGAGATTGATTGAAATTAGACATTAACACCGTTGGATGCAAACTAGCTCAGTGGTCTAGTGGTTAAGCGCTTGTGCACGAGACTGATATGTCCTGAGTTGGAATTTTGCGAAGCGAAATCGTGGATGCACACTGTTGAGGAGCACTGCAGTAGGACGAAACGGATATCCAGTGCTTCCAGGTTTTCCATGGTCGTCTAGCTTCAATTGATTCATGATTTCAACTATTAAAACTAATTAATTAATTTATCTTATTTTATTTTACCGTCTTTCAAACAGAGAAAAAACATGGCCATTTGAAGACAATGTTGGCAATCAAATTTTTTATATATAATCCAGAATATTCTATTCCAATTACTTATCGTTTACAATTATCATTATTTAAAAATATGAATTGGAATAAATTAATACAAAAATTACATGAAATAACCCATAATCAATTTTCTGGTTTCATATTAACTTGGGATGGTAAGTTGTTATGTTATTATGTTAAATGTATTGTTATTAAAGGATACTCTAACATTATAGATGGATATGTATTATGAATTTGTGTTGATATTATAATATTATGATATATGATTCTAACTGGTTTCCTGGAGTTCTATTGAGAAGTCGTAACCAGTGGAGTTAAACCGAGTCTGTTGTTAGATAGTAACTCACTAAAGTAAAAGGTTACTCTGTCGCTCAATTTCATAGATTGGTTGAAGTTAGACATTAACACCGTTGGAAGCCAACTTAGTGGAATAGAAGTAAAGCGCTCGCGAGCAAGACTGATAAGTCCTGGGTTCGAATCTCGAGAATTAGAATCGTGAATGTTCACTGCTGAGGATTCCCACAGGAGGACGTAACGGCCATCTAATGCTTCCAGGTTTTCCATGTTTGTCTAGCTTCACTTAATTCATGATTTCAACTATTAAATTACTAAAATATCCACAAAACACCTTCTGATAATAACTGATTTTCTTTGTAATAGATAATATTATCTTCGAATGTTGATCGTATTTAAATCTCATTGTTAATGCATACTGTCAAACTTTAGTTTAGTACCAACTACTTAAAGAAATCCAGTAAGGACCGGAGTCAGACAAGGCTGTCTACTCTCCCCATTCCTCTTCCTTCTAGTGATTGACTGGATTATGAAGAATTCGACATCTGAAGGGAAATACGGAATACAATGGACAGCTCAGAATCAATTAGATGATTTGGACTTCGCAGATAACCTAGCCCTCCTCTCTCATACACACGACCAAATGCAGATGAAGACAGCAAATGTAACAGCAGCCTCCACATCGATAGGCCTCCACATTCACAAAGGAAAAAGCAAGATTCTCAAATGCAACACGGAGAACACCAACCCTATCACACTTGATGGCGAAACTCTGGAAGAGGTGGAAACATTCAAGTACCTGGGGAGCATCATTGATAAACAAGGATGATCGGATACAGATGTAAAGGCGAGGATTGGCAAAGCAAGGACAACATTTTTACAATTAAAGAACATATGGAACTCAAAAGTACTGCCAACAGATTTCAAGGTGAGAATCTTTAATACGAACGTCAAGACAGTCCTTCTGTATGGAGCTGAAACGTGCAGAACTACTACAACCATCATCAGGAAGGTACAAGTATTTATAAACAGTTGTCTACGCAAAATATTCAAAATCCATTGGCCGGATACTATCAGCAACAGCGTTTTATGGGAGAGGACAAACCAGCTTCCAGCTGAAGAGGAAATTAGGAAAAGACGTTGGAAGTGGATCGGACATACATTAAGGAAATCACCAATGTGCATCACAAGACAATCCATAACTTGGAATTCGGAAGGGAAGAATGAAAGAGGAAGGCCAAAGAACACACTACTTCGGGAAATAGAAGCAGATATGAAAAGGATGAATAGCAACTGGAAAGAACTGGAAATGAAGGCTCAGGACAGAGTTGGATGGAGAATGCTGGTGAGCGGCCTATGCTCCTCGACGAGGGGTAAGAGGCGTAAGTAAGTTAGTAAGTAAGTAAGCAAGTAAGTACTTAAAGAAAATCTAGGAATTGTTTAATGGGTATTTAAAACCATAGGGACTTGGTTTTTATTCTCAATGTTAACATCAGTGATGGAATGCACATTAATCTATGGGACTTATTGCTAATTAGATTCAATTACCTTACTGAACTGTTGATAACAACTTTCGCTATATTATCTGATCTTCAGATCTGTAGGCGGTATACACTGTGTGTACTAATCATATAACTTTGAAACAATTGGGAGTAACACGGTAATTCATAAAACGTCATTAATGATTTCAGATATTAGGAAGTGGATATCAGTATTCCAATACTTTTGATATCAAAACGTTCTTTTGCCTAACTCTAAGTTGACTATCAGTTAGTATTACTAATCTTCATTTATGATGTAAAGCTGAAATACTACTACTTTAAGATTAACTTAATACACGAAACACATTAATCGGTCAAAGTTTTAAGACCATTTGAAACGATAGTGGCGTCATACGAATAAACTACTGCCTTTCATATCTATGGTTGAATTTATAACCGTTTACATGCTTGAGCATATTAGTTCAATATGGTTATTAAGTGAAAATCTTTGAATAAAGTTGAATAATGACTAGTAATTATTATCTTGAACATGAGTTTCGTCCTACTTAGGACTCGTTACCTAAATGTACTTATACCTCAGTGACGATGTTCACATTAAGACTTATAAAAATTTACACATATGAAATCAGTAAATGGAAATGATAAGATAGTAAATAAATACATTAGCATATTTCTTCATATCTTCTCGCTGTGGTTAAAAATGATTGAATTCATTGTACGTGTAGTGTATCTAAATATGTACGTAGTTAGGTGTAAGTGAATGATACAGATTATATATACATATATTTGTCACCGACTTATCTGATCCGAATATATGGAAGCCTGATTACCAAGTAAATATATCAGCTACGTTTCTTAAAGATATATTGGTAGAAACATGTAACTATGAAACGTCAGAGACATTTATCTCAGCTATTATTTAATTTGTTAATGTCTTAAAAGGTAATATATTATTAGCTAAGATGGTTGGCGGCTGGCAGTAGAATCCAAGACGTGCGTTTCGTTCTGTATTGGAGTCGTCAGCAGGATGCACCTACATCTCAGAGCTGATGTACACCCTGGAACTGAAACCCAGTATCGTTCACCTCAAACTCCATCGTGTTATCCATGTAGCTGTATCGTGTAAATTTGCACAAGATGTACATATGCTAATAAGAGAATGATCAATTGCAATCCTAAACATCAATGGAAAGATTCCAACAAACAATAAAAAATGAATTTAAGTGATATATTATTATTTACTGTTATATCTGGAACTTATATTCTTAGTATGTCGCGAAATACTTGAGTACTCGAACGCTAGAACCTTCCCAAGCCGAAAAATGAGAAAACAGAAAACCAGTGGAACAAATGTTATTCCAAACAGTGTCAATTGTGGTACAAAACCGTCAGGTATTTATAGTTTTTAGTAAAAACGAAATCATTATAGTTATCTAATCCGCATACAGGGAGTTATTAGAATTGTCCAATAGGGAAGTTACACGTAGTGATTCTGAAAATATTCTTCAAAAAGCTGATTGGATGGAATATGTTCAGCTCCTTCAGAGCTTCTTAGAGCTTCCTCAACTTCATCTGTGGACCGTCCTCACATTAGCATACTCTTTTGTTCATTTTTTTTCTTTAAAATATATTCTGTTTTAGATGGATTTCACAATTGTATCATTACAGATGTAAAAGATATTATCAAAGCTATAGAATATATGCAAAGTAAACAATTACTTGATGATAACTGTTTACATGTTAAAGTGAATAGTTTGCCAAAATCATTACCAAATCAAAATGTATCTACAACTAATTCATCTAAAGTATTGAATCAAGTTCATCTACCAACATATTCTGAAGCTATTGGTTCACAAACTACTTTATTAACTAAACCAAATCGAATAGAAGATAAAATCATTATTATACGTCATAATCAACAAGATAGAAATCAAGGGAATATAGTGAATTAATATTCTTGTTCTTTTGTAAGTTTAGTTATGTTGTATTACATATATTCATGATTATTATACTGAGAACTTCAGATAATAGTACAAAACTAATATTATTTAGAAAGTCACTGAAAATCAGAAAGTATTGGACAACTATTTCATCTCAATGTGGTACGTCTTAGTGGAGCACATCTACAACTTAAAAGGTCATGGAATCTAAAGACTTCAGGGTTTATGGTGAGTTCCAAAACTTTGGACCACTCACTAGAAATCCAATAAATTACATTTTTAAATTCATTATATGCTATCAACTATGTCGCATTTGATCTAAGGAAACTGGTATCAATTTTTGAACATCAGTGACAAAAAGGTTTGTCTAAGATGTGTTTTAGGAAAAATATATCTGTTAGAGTGAATCAGTAAATATAGTTGAAAAAAAAATATTAGTCATGTCAACATCTAAGGATTAGTTGTACTATTTTTAACTGTTACTGAATATATAGTTGAAATCATGAGTCAATTGAAGCTAGACCACTATGGAAAATCTGGAAGCATTGGACGACCGTTTCATCCTATTGCGGGACTCTTCAACAATGTGAATCCACGGTCTCGCCTCGCGAGATTGGTTTAAGTTAAACATTAATACCATCGGATGCCTGCTCAGTGGTCTAGAGGTTAAGTGTTCTGACGCCAGACTGGTAGGTCCTGTGTTCGAATCTTGAGAGGTGAGATCGTGGATGCGCACTGGTGTGGAGTCCCACAATAGGATGAAACGGCCGTCCAGTGCTTCCAGGTTTTCCATGATGGTCTAGCTTCAATTGATCAATGATTTCAACTATATATAAGAATTACTAAAAATCTTCACAAACAATCCCTTGTTACCGAATAGTTGATATTAGAATCTACAGTATATTGCATACCAAGAAGGTTTAAAGGGTAAGATGTTAAGTATGTTTTAATTACCTACCAATTTTCCTACATTTTGTGTGTATATATGAAGCCAGACAAAAATAGACAATCAGCACTTCTTTATTTCGCTTAACATTTCATCAAATATCCATCATACTTTACCAACTCTCTCACTCTTTTTTTCCAGTCAGCATGTGTACATTTTCTGTTCAATGTTCAGCATCAAAAAAATATCCAAGACAATTGATTATTGTGGTTTAGTTTATCACTGATGTGTATTATGGTGTGTTTCTATTTAACTTGAAATTTCATTTGAGTAAATATTTGTACACAAATGAATTAATTGAGCTAGATTATTGACTATGTATACACATTATATTTTTTTAATGAAACATTTTATTCGGTGTTTTTTTTTGTTTACTAACTGTTTGTTATAACTTGTGGATTGTGTCTCTATCAGTATATGTCGTAATGATACCTCCAATTAGAGAAAAGTGATTGATCGAACGGACCAATGACGCATAAAACCGGAACGAACAGTGTAGTGTTTTTATAGGTTCTTCTCCAGGCGTAACCCTTCCTGTTAAGTCCATAACATCAATCTCAGCCTATGAGATATAATCATATATTTTAAATATACCGGGTCTATATACAAACCAAACGAACCACATCGTATCGCAAAATAGAAAACAACATTTGTACAAGATCTAGCAGGAAGTGGCTGTGAATATGGTAGACTGTAATTAATAAACTGTGCATAACTCAAGAATAGTAAATCCTACCATTATAGCCTGCAGCTCAAAATGAACCTTATAATAATAAGAATATAGATATACACAATTTAGATACTAAAATAGTTACACAATGTGAATATACGTATAATATTTGTCCATAAATAGATATCAAAGGTTACCATTCATAATTCTCACAGGGACATAACACTAACCAAAGATTATAGGATCGTATTTAAATTTTCTTAAATACAGTGAATATTAGTTACATTTTGATCAAATGTTTAGTAGAATGAAGCCGTCATTTTCAGTAGTTACATTATATCATAATATTATTTGAATTTCAAATATGTGGATCGTTAGTAAAATTGTGGGCGATATGGATTGAAATAAAAATATTATCAGAAAGCGGTTTTATGGATATTTCAGTAATTTGAATAGTTGAGATCATGAGTCAATTGAAGCTAGACCACTGTGGAAAACCTGGAAGCATTGTACGGCCTTTTTGTCCTATTGCAGGACTCCTCAACAGTGTGTACCCACGATCCCGCCTCGCGAGATTCCATAGTTGTCTTGTTTCAATTGACTCATGAATTCAACTATTAAATAAGCATGCGTTTCTTGAAATAATAAGATTATATTGATTTCATATGAAGCTCTAAATGAAGGAAATTGTAAAGTTCTATATAAGGATGGAATAACTGTTCATTTTCTATCGACTTTCTATGTTAGTCCAGACTGCAACATTTCATGATAAAAGTATTTAGAGGTCAAGCGCTCGCGCACGAGACTGATACGTCCTAGGTTCGAATCTCGAGAGGTGGGATCGTAGATGCGCACTGCTGAGGAGTCCCCCGATATGATGAAATGGCCGTCCATTGCTTCTTTATATATAAAATTTATTTTGTTAACTAAGACATCTTACACAGATAGTTGACTCTAGATTGTTTATTTTTCAACAGTATACTATTGAATCGTATTAACTCAGGTTAAATCTTTATTTTCTTATAGTGAATACAATAACTTTATATTTTAATAGAATAAAAGGAATTCTAATGGGAAAAGTATGTAATGAAGAAACCATTTCATGGTTGTTTGTTGGTTAGTTCAAGATTTCATTTTCATTTATGCTCAGATTGAATAAAAAAATAAGGTTTACTAAATTTTCTTAAAACTAAAAAGCGAAATGTTAGTTTAGAACCCTATTTCATCATTTTGCCAGATTAATCCATTTAGATTGAGATCATGAATGGATCAATGTTAGACCATCATTGGAAAACTGAAAGCATTGGACGGCTGTTTCGTCCTAGTATGAGATTGCTTAGCAGTAGGAATCTACGATATCACACGCAGCACTCAAACCCAGAAATATCGGTCTCGCGCGTGAACGCTTAACCTATATACCACTGAGCTGGTATCAGACAATGGTACTCATAATTGTCATGTGCTTACTAGTGTTCAGCATCGAGAGGTGATTCTAGAAGTTCTAGTAAGATGTCGTAACCAATGGAGTTCAATCGTCTGACGTGTGAAGCATTTACTCACTGAAGACAATGCTGGATTGGTTGGAGTTGGACATTAACACCACTGGACGCCGGTTCAGTTGTATATAGATTACAATCGCGCGCGAAAACGAAAGTTCTGGGTTCGAATCGTGAATGTGAGATCGTGGATTCCCACTGCTGAGTGACCCCAAACTAGGACGAAATCGCCGTCCAATGTTTCCAGGTTTCCAATGATGGTTCAACATTGATCTATTCACGATCTGAATCAAAAATCAACAATCTCCAGAACCCTGTACTGATGATCCATTTAGTTTAAAAGTAAAGTCCAGGTTAGAGTAACTCCATGATTGATAAATTCAATATGATGATTATGCAGAATTAAATTTATCATAGAAAGTTGGTAGTAATTAGAATGGATGGTAATTTTAAAATGTTAATAATATGATCTTGTGAATAGGCTTCACAACATTTTCAGCTTAGTTGGGTAATAGTTATTGGTGGAATCTAGAACTCGTGTTTCGTTCTATTTAGAACTTGTCAGCTGCATGTACCTTCAACCCACTGTTAATGTTCATACTGATCCTCGAACCTAATTCCTATCGCTTGAAACCTCGAAATGTTACCCACTGAGCTACTGGATTCAGAGAGTCACTAACTTATGTTACAGGTATGAGTTTTAATAGTTCAAACAGTAGTTTGAGGATAATAGTAATTTGTTTTACTAAGCTTTTATCAGCTATTTACACTCAATTATATTAAAACACCATACGTTTTATAGTAATCCCCAGAAAAACGCTTAATCAGATACCCATTTTGAGAGACACTTATTGCCACTGTTTAGCAAAAAGTACTGGTAAGAACTGACCAAAGCAGACACTAACATGTGAATCAATAAGTGAATGAAGCGGTGATTAATATCATAGGTCATAGATCAAAACACAGTTAAAACTATTGAATGAGATGTTATAGTGAAAGGAAGTATCTGAAAACATTTATTAGGTTAATAATAACAGAACATGAGGCTTGAAATAAGCAGTTACATTAGCTAGGCAAATGAATATATGTCAATGATAATTAAATGTGGAATACGTAGTCAGTAAACTGAACGTTTTACATAAACTGCAAGAATGTCTGAAAATGTAATGTGATCAAATTAGCGAAAAATTATAGAGTTCAGTTATCAAAGGAATGAAAACTAGAAAAAAACGGTTTCATTTTACAACACAAATTTCAAGTTTAAGGTATTTGTTATTTATAGTAATGTGACATGAGCTACTTATATTCACACAAGTAGTATATAACGATGGTTAGGTATAGGATGTATTTCAGTTGAAGTTCGATAAGAAGAGAATGGGAACGGGACACAATTGGTATGAAAATGCATGATCAATAATAATCAGAGACGATAGACTAATATTTAAAGAAGGAACGATCAAGATTGAGACAATTGATTGATAGATTACAAATTAACTACTATTTACTATGTGGTTCTCATATTGTACTGACTGATTCTGTAATTCTATGCCTAAATACATTTGATTGCCCCCTACTTGTGTTCTTGTTCACTACACTATTAGTTAAATCACTCTAACTTGAGATTTTTCATCAGTGCACGACAAAAGCTTCAAACTAGATCAAATCCAACAATATTTCAACTGTAGTCAATTTCAGAAGATCGATAAGGAAAGGACGGAAACGAAACGCACTTAGTATGAAAATGCACGAACAATAATAATCGGAGACTATGGAATGATATTTACAAAAGGAATGTTCAAGATTGAGACAATTGATTGATAATTTACAAATTAACTGTTTACTGTATGGTTGTCAGATTTTAGTGAGATAGTCTGTAATTGTCGTATCAATATACATTTGATTGTCCCCACTTGTGTTCTTGTTCACTACAGTATCAGTAACTATAAGAACATTAAGAATTGATAGTTTCTTAACCATTTAAGAAGGATTTTAATATATCTATCTGATGTCTTGTATCAATCAAACGCCTGTAAATAGTATTATTTAAGACTTCTATACAGCTTAATTGAATAATTTCTGAAATTTAGGTTCGACCTTTACTACCGATCTACCACTATGAGTATAGTAAGTTACACTGATGACTAGAACGTAGAAAAGATGAGTCTAAAACTTTAGTTGTACCAATAAACTTGATTTTGTTCATACTAATTCATCTATTTACCTATCTATCCACACATCTCTCCATATATCTATACATATATCAGATGGTGAAGAGATTTTTGACAGAATGGGTATAATGTATAAAAATTTTTGATATAAGACATCCTAACCGAAATTCATTATCTGTTCCTAGTTATTAACCAATAAGAAGATAGAACTACCTATCTAGATTTTCTTTATCGAAAGACATTTCCACTGAATATCATTACTCATAAGGGACTAATTTATTCACATATGATTATTATTTAATAACAATATCCATGTTTGCGCTTATAAAGATTCTGACTTTAGGCAATATCGAGGCAGCGATCGGCATAGGATGCATATATGCCAACAAGAGACTGATCAATTACAGTCCTAACTAACAATGGGAAGATACAAGTAAACAACACCAAGTGAATAATAATGATAATCCATAATTCATCAACCGAAATTAATTTATATTCAAATATATTTAGTACATTGTATGTACTATAGTAATTATATGAATGAATAATCTATTACTTGTATTATATACTCAATGATAAATATTTATTATTCTTGACTTAATTACTTATTCAGTTTCACACAATATATATATTGGTATATAAGGCTAAGGTTTTGAGACTGGTATAGTTTGAAAATGAATTTTACATTACGGGTTTATATATCTCCAAAAACTATTGTGGTGTGGGTTACTTATATCTACATAAGTAGTATATAACGATGGTCGGACATTGAATGTATTTTGGGATGGTGGAGATTCGTAGCTCAGGTGGATGATTTGGATGGAGTTTTGTTCTTTGAGCTGGATGGTTTGTTCGTGAAGCTTTCACCTTTATTCTGAACG